CCCCAAAACCCCAAAACCCCTTCATAAAAAACTTGCTTTTATAAACAAAGTAAATAGAAGTAAATTAAAATAATTAATCTTGAAAACATAATTCTTTGGTTAAAAATAAATAATTATAATCCTATCGTTTTATCATTCAAACTTCATTATCAATTCCTCAAACGATTAGCAATTAACTTTATCCTTTTCAGTATCAAGATGTAATGGTCTTTTAATTAAAATCTATTCTTAAAAATCAAGCTTCCAAATAATATCTTAAGCATTTTAACTTTAACGAATACCCTCAAAAACTTCTTGGTCAAAGTCTTATTAAGATGCTAGTAATCTAAGCAGACTATCTAACTTCTGCTATTTTTGTAGGCTCTCTGGGGATGAAAGAAATTTAAAACCATTGTTTTCAATAGAGTATATGTACTAATTATTTGGTTTATCTTGATCAGTAAATACTAACTTATCATCGTTCAGATTAATATAGCACATTTTTTAATTTTTTAGGGTTGCCTCACTATTTCTAAGCTTAATGATTTCTAAGATAAATTAGTTTATTTAGATGAAGAGTTGGATCCTTATAGCTAGAAATGGGCACAGCCAAACATGCCTTTACTCATTTTCTTTTTTCTTGCTCATTAAAATGTAGGTATTCAAGTCAAATACATTATAATTACTTGATTGATATTAACTCTAAGCAGGAATTTCAATATCTCTTCTTGAGAATGGGCAAGTTAGATCGATTGCATCTCATCGCAGTCCTCTTCCTGCTTTGGACGTTTAATGCTATCATAGCATTCTTTAAAGTTTTTAATGGCAGATTAATCTTGAGAAATTGATGCCAATATTTGTTCTGCTGAATAATATTTTACAACAAATAACCCAAAGTAATAGAAGCAACCGTCAATTTCGTCTTTGTCTATTTGAATTTGTAATGTATTTTCACTATTGAATTGAAATTCATCAAGCTTGAAGTCAATAGGGAAGTCAATTCTCTTTTGTTATTCTTGCTTTATATATTTCCTAGTGGGTGAATGGTTCAAGTTTATTTAGCAAAAATCAGGGAAGTGTGAAGTAAATACTTTCTTGCTTGCTTAAAATTAGCAACATCTTAGTTGAATTATACATTAATTCACAGTGATATAATCCTTAAGCTATTGAGTCATTCTGAAAGTTTAAAAATAATTCGTACTAGCTTTATTCTCCTAATGATGTGGAGCTTAAATTTGCTGAGTTTCAATTATTTAAGTTATCAACGGCTAGCAAGGAATCTAATATTCTAGCTAGCAAGCAGGACAAACAGTTTGATTTGATTAAATAGAAATTGGAAAGCCCCCAACTAATGAGTTTTTATCACACATCGAGCATTTTAAAATATCATTCTTATTATTAGATTAGGCAATTTCCGTTGAATTATCTTGCTAGGATTTTATCCTAAAATTTTGCTTTACTATTGAAGGGAACTTAGATTATTTGAGAAAAGATTTTTGGAAAATATTTAAATCTGGATCTTTTTCTTTAGGAATTACTACAAGATCAGAATCTCTAAATCCCAACTACTGAGCAGGCTCACTTTAGGAAATACCTTTCTAGAGCATTCTTGAAGAAAAAGATATTTCTTCTTCATACTATAGTCCATATGTAGCTAGGAATGATTTTACATTTGCAATTTTTAAGAGCTCAATCATTCCTGCAGTTGTTAGTAAATAATTACTCAATAGTTAAATCTTTTCAGGTATTGAAGATTTTAATAAAGATTTTTTCATCAGTTTTTCCATCAGTTGGTCAATCTTCTCCTCAGAAAGACAATTTTTGAATAACTAAATTAACATATTACTTTATGGATTAGATTAAATGACTCTTTGATAAGCTCTTTATTTTTCAGGTGATAGAAGGGAAATATTCGTGATTGAATTCTACATTATTAAATTTTCTTGTTGAGTTTCAAATATCAGACAGGTAACTTAAAGATTAATTTGATATTATTAACAAATGGATATAATTTCAAATCAATTTATTTTGAAATTTGCCTAGTCTTAGGGGTTTTGGGGTTTTGGGG